ATATCGATATTAATAGCTTTGAAGACAAACACGAACGAGGCGCGTAAGGAAGCGAAACTAATGCGGGCCAACGTGACATTGCAATGATTCAAGGTAAAAAAGCATACATTCTCAAGATGGCTTTAGAAGTTCTAAATTATAACATAAGAGAAAATATTTAATTGTTTTATTTACTTATTCTAATCCATACTATTTGAAAATTACGGCACTAAAGAAAAATAAATTTTCCGTAAAAAAGCCATGCACCCATCGGTCACAATGAAAATCGGGGCTTTTTTTTTGTATCGACTATCTAACGCAAGCCTTTTTGTAGTTTCTCAACTGATTTGCTACAGGCCTTTTGACGGTAAAAACAAATTCCACGTCTGTTCGACCGTCCTTCGAAAAATTACCTCCGAATAATTTCGGATACCTTCCGTGATCACAAAGCAACCTCCTTGTACTATGTCAAAATTCGACGTAATCCATTTTGTCATTATTTTGCTGAGATTTTTCTTGTTTAAACTGTTAGATAATTAATCACATTATTGAAAATGCGCCCCCTACGTTTTGGCGCCACGGCGTACCCCCGTCATTGTGTCTCTAGTACTAAAATTAAGCTTATTTATTCTTACCCTTGTGCTTTGAGAAGAGGAACAAAATCATATACAGCTCTGACTAACAACTGGTCTATGCATTTAAGTGTGATGCATGCTGATGTCGTATTACGCGCGCCTTGGAATAGACATCTTAGTCAATGCACGAATCTTTTAAATACGTTCTAAAAGCCCTTATTTGAATTTTATCGCCTATTTTAAGTAAACATTATTAGCGGCTATTTTTACAGAATTGTAACGTATCTTGGCTGATTACTGGACAAACAAACGCCCCTTTTTTCAATTAATTTTTTACTTTATTACTTTTACGAACATCAATAGGTTAGCCGAATACGAGCACTCCCGTATGTCACGTATAGGAAATTGTTTAGAGTTAGTATAAAAGAAAAAAAAATTGCAATTACGAATCAGTGCGAAATGCAAGGCGATTTAATGCCAGGCACATCCCACCGGACCCGTGATTTTACCTGCTAGCGTACCGGCCTGCGAAACTTGAAAAAAGCGGACGCTTACAAGTTTGGTTTTGTGCAGAGAGCCCGCGGTCTCGAGCAATAGTCAAAGCAATTTATCTATCACTCTTTACCCCACTCGCGTATCATATTAATACGATAAACACACGCATACCCAAGTCGGAGAAAAACAAACTTCTCTCAAAATAGTAATTAATTATATTTGCGGCACTTTAGATTTGTCTATAAGCACGAAAACGCGACTGGCTACCTACGCGAATTTTATGTTCCAAGTGTATAGTGTTTTTGCCGCCGTTTTTTTTTTACTATAAAGCACTAATTAACACCAGTTTATGTGTTTATTTTCCGCTCACAAAGATTCTAAAGAGGTCTCTAAAGTGAACGTCTTAAATATTTGAACCCGATTGAGGGTTGGCACACTACCAGTTCAACCCTACGAGGAAGACAATGGACGACCAAAATCATCTGGCATACATTTCATTCATTTAACTACATCTTATGAAACATTGTTGCGAAGTTCGATTGCGACGCCAGGACCGTCGAATATCGATGTACTTAAAGAGGTACACTCTACATGATGTTGCTTGCCGAAAAGATGGCAAAGTTGTATTGCGCTCTCAAACTAAAGATTACCTCTCGTACTAAATTTGTAACCTTAAACGCAAGAGTATTATTAGCAGGCCGAATGATCCGAGTTGTTAATTTTTAGCGGTAAGGATATATAAACACCAATATCCTCGCAGTGTTGTCAGTATTTTATATGGCGGCATGAGGGCCGACCTTAAATATGCTCCTGTTTGAGCTTCTTCACAGAATCATGTTCCAAAACAAGTGGCATTTTTTAGTAAAATAAGAGCTTTTAAACTCCTTTCAATATAGGGGATTAGAGCAGATTTTGTATGTTAAACCTCCAGATTCTACAAATGATCTCCAGAGAACGAGTAAATTTCAGAAATTGATTTGTGTACCTACTAGTTGTTGGTGGCATGTCTCTCTATCCAACTGTCGTCCTTACTTTCCGAAATAGCACAGCTAAAAGGAACGTTCAAAAAAGATGCTTTTAAGATAGGAAATCCAGTATAAACGTAGCTCTATCATCACGAGTTTTCTGTATGTTTGTACTCGAATATGTGTCTGTGGCTCAGTATCTAGTGTTATGTGGATAAAAAGAAGGTCGCGGGTTGCAAAATCATCGAAGCCGTATTTACAATTTTGTGTAATTTCTTGTCATTTTTAAATAATTAATTCCGTTGTTAACTGGTGGTTAGAAGGTCTTATGTGAATATGTTCCAACAAAGAAAATATTCGAATTTATTTTTGTCTGTCGTTTATGCTGGTTCTCTCTTTAATATTGAGTGGCTTCACGTAAGCCCCATAACAAACTACCGTTTACCTTCTCATCACCTTGAAGTTTCCATAAATTGTCGTATGTCAAATAGGATGACATGCACTTTAAATATTGCAATGATAACAATGTAGCACTACATAATCTTCCATGTCGTCTATATTTCACTCATATAATGCAACGATAATCACAAGAAAAACTGCAGATATTATAATTATCTTTTTTATAGTTTGTCTGAAGAGCTTCAAATGAAATTAAACAAGGCAGCAATCCGCAACAGAAAAATTACCTTTCAGATAATCTTATAATCTAGCGGATTATTACAAAGTTGATGTTTCAGTTAATACTCTCTTTATTTGACTACACGTCTTGAATAATATGTTAATGTCTGAGTTAACTTACGTTTCTCCTAACAGTTCATTGCCAATCGTGTGCTTATACTTTCCCGTGCAAATACTAAAATACTAATTGAAAAAAAAAACAATTTACATGTACGTTTGCTGCTGCGTAGAATGATACGACCAATACGAAACATATTCAATAGCTGTTTCATTCATAAGATAATGGGAGTGATATCCGTCTTCCCTATTGGTTACGCAAGTTTTTAATTATCGTTGTTTTGGTGGTAACGGGCAACAAGGAAAAATCCAAGTAACATAAACTGAAGTAAAAACTAATCAGGCCCCGGCGGGGTTCGAACCCGCGATCTTCTGTTTACGAGACAGACGCCTTACCACTTGGCCACGGAGCCACGGCCAACGTACCCAAACCATCAAAAACCATACCTGAACCAGGGAAATCCCCCAGGCTTAGTTTTCAATTCAATCTATGGCATCCAATACTTTAAAAAAGCAAGCAGCAGTATGTTTCGGTGTTCTTTATTGACTAGCCGACGATAAATCAAGATCAGCTCAGCGCCTGTCTGTCTGCGCACAGTTCTTGATATTGACACATGCAGAACTCCTCTGCTAGTTCAGAGCAGTTTCAGCGGTAAGGGTCGTCTGTTTACAAATACATCTGTTTCCGACGCCTTCTCTCGCGCCGCTATGCGCAAGAATTTTCGAGCGACATCTGAACAGAACCAATGCGTCAAGTTACATGTTTTTAGAAAGTCTCAAGTACTAAACTAAAAGTCTTCCTATGTCCTTGTTAGGCTTTATAGGTTTGCGGGAACTAACAGTTACGGGATTCGAAAAATATGCAGAATTTGCTTAGTGATATTCGTAGCAGGCTACCGCGACTGAAGAAAGTCGAGACGCGTGTGCAAACCGAAGCAGGTTGGTAATAGATAGAAATCGACCAACAGTTGACCCTTGCTTTAAATATCTTTATGTTGCTTTAATGCAGAGTGTCAATGAACGACGCTACGTTCGAATATTTCGCCTGGCTCTCTACCCGTGAGTATTAACTGTATGATGTATTAACTAAGGCCCGTACGATTGCATTGATTTATCAATATAATCCATTCCGTTATATCATTTGGATATATATAATGGATGGTGATAAAGCTCAATATATGTACGCAAATAGATGAAAATCGTGTCACATTGATCTCTTGGTTCAAGTGTAATTATAGAAAAGTCAATATTAATGGCTTCGTTGCCGTTCATGGGTTTAGAAAAATGACATCGTATGATTACGTAGTGACAGATATTTAATTTATTGCGAAATATAAGGCGCACCATGTTTCTAACTTCTTTCTATAAAATTATAGACATAATATACACTCTACAAATCGAACCTTCATAGAACTAGACACCGTTCCTGTTTCACTGAATATAATCGTTGATTATTTTACTCGTCGTATTAAGGACGTCCTATCATTTCGCTTTTTATGCCGTATCATATCGAAGCCATGAGAACCGTAATTGTGGTAAAGTTATCTTAGTAGATTTTTTCAAACATAAATTTAATTAAGTATTGTCATGATTATTCGTTTTAGAATTGTCTAATCGAAAAACGATGCTCAAAACGTTGGTTACTTAGGTAGTTGATAGTTTAACATTGTAATATGCGTATCGTAATTACACCTTTGGATCCATCAATCATACTTGCTTAGGACAACTTCTAACGCACCCACCTCTAGGGTTGCTTGTTCACTGTTTTGTCCAAATCGCATGAACTTGATGGCCTAATACTTGGCACCCAAGTGATGTGAAATACATAACCGCGACCGCGGACAAGTGACTGTGGGCAGAAGGCCTACTCATTTGATTAAGGTGGCAAAGTTGTGCTGTTCATGTACCGAAATTAAATCATATCTTGTAAAATTAACCCTCTATAATGGACGAATATTATATAGCGGCGGGCGAGGCCATCTAGAGCACCGTCAGGATTTCGGGATCGGCAGATATCTCTGTTATTGTTCCGGTGGATTTTTGGGCCACACTAAAAGTTCATACAATTAAGAATAACTGGTTTGCACCTTCTAAGAGACTTTCAATTAAATGTCTAATAAGGTATTCCATTCATAAATGAATACTAAACGGCTATCATACGAATACGGTCTCCGCCAACGAACACATATATACTGATGTGCTTTACAGCTACTTAAATACATTTACTATTAATATTAGTTACATTTTTTAGGAAACGTATTACTTGAACGACGCAATAGCGCAGGAGGTTTTTCGGGGATATTAAACCCAGAGCCACGAACACAAGAGAGATGCCGCGGGTTTGTCTACGACTTCAAGCCAGATCTCCAAATGGCTTCAATTACGCCTGGACTTTATCTCAGTAAGTACAGCCCTTTTCTACAGTATTTACATTTTACAAAACGTCAAACGTGGCAATTTCCCATTTCGTGATTTATGATCGACATTATTACAGATATTACGTACATTGTCACGATTGCATTCATTATAGAACGTTAGATATCAAATTAATGTGCGTACAAAAAGTGGGTTTATATTTAGTTCAAGTTAAGTGTTTAGTCTATGAAAGGTGACTTTTTAATTTCAGCATTTCTTAGATCATGGAACACCACTTAATTGAGTGTACAGAAAGACTGGTGTATAAAGGAGGAGAATATTCAGATGGACAATTCTATTACATAATCACAACGTATATTTTGGAAACTAAGAAGGCATTCTGCTTCGAAATCATAATTACTATTAATGATAGGATGAATCACTCAACCGATAATAACCGATTCTCTGTTTGAATCATATATGACTTGAAGAACGATAGTTCACCATGCACAGCCAGAGTCGTCGATCGTCATAATGAAATTATCCGATATGAAAGGAGAAAGGATTGCATTGTTTATGCGGTTTGGACTCTAAAGACTAACCAGTACATGAATTTAGTCCTCCACCTATTTTACATACATATAATATCTCTAATATTTAGAATGAACAATCAACGAATACGTCAGTCTTGGGAAATGCAGGATCAAAAAATGCTAATTAGAGTTTATGCTTATACTCCTACAACGATATATTATCCAAACAAATATAATAACAAAAGCATAAAAATCATAGGAAAATTCGGTGGATTTCTTTTACAACGAAGTTTATGCCTCATTCAATATTCATTATTCCGCATCTTCTTTTAGGTTCACAAGACGTTGCATCAAATTTAGAACTTTTGAGATCGCGGAACATTCGTCACATCATTAACGTTGCTTGGGGGATCCCCAATTATTTTCCTCAACACTTCCGATATCTGAAACTTCGGCTCTTGGATTTACCGGAACAGAACGTTCGGCTAGTATTCGAAGAGTGCTTCGACTTCATCGATGAAGCGATGTCCACAGGAGGTTCGACGTTAGTTCACTGTAACGCCGGTTAGTTGCTATCTTCGGCTGAACAACTATGATTACTACGCTACATACTTACGAGATCTTATCGCAATGAGAATCATGATAAATCTTCAACCCAAACGTACTGAAAAAAATACGTTCCTCTATTACGCCATAGCTGGTGTTCAGGGGACTCCGGTAGGCTGCAGTACTTCTAAGCAGGCTATGAAAAGTCCCTGCGTATTTGCTCACTGCATCCTTAGGGAAAACGCACGCAATCTTATCGAAAATTCAAGCTCCTGTCCATGATTCCAAAGTGATATCTAATGCATACGTGTTGATTCGACCTTCAGTTGAGACTCAATATTTTTTCTAATTATTTAAATTCTTAATTTCAGTTCATTTTATTATGCCATAAATCAAATCTACGGTTACGGCTATATAGACATAAAGCGAGTGGCTGTGATGCATTCGTTCCTGCTAGCCACCTACAAAGCTAAGTCAGCTCGCCCGCTCCATTCTGATGGCAGCAATAGGATGGCTGACTATACGGCGAAAGTCGCGAAAAGATTACTCAAACTGATGGGATCCAAAGCCTGGATGTGTGGGAACTGCCATGCTGGTGTTCAACTAGGGAAAGCTGAAAGGATGCCTTAAGGGGTACGAGCGGCTTATTACAAAAAGATGGAAACGGCCATCATACTAGCTTATGCGCGTAGACATTAAAGAAGAGCAGCCTGGGCCGTGCTTGATTTCGAAATCGATGCAGAGGAACTGTGGAAAAGCTTTAAAGCTATAAGAACGCTATCCTCCAAAAAAAGCACTCTCGGTGAGACAATTTTCTGTCGTTATAGGGAAGCCAGCGAGACTTGCGACTAGTCTGAGTGTCAGTCTTCTAGAGGGGCTAGGTATAGGGTTTGTTCAGAATTCTTTTGAACAGCATTCATAAACCCGTATAGCGATCAGCAGTGTTCACTGATCAGCAAACTTTTTATGAGTTAGACTGAGCGGTTAGAGACTATATGCTGGGAGCCCAGTACTAGGCTAGTCTTGCGTTATGTAAGCACCATCTCGCTGATGGTTGATCATCGAGTTGAGATGCTTATTTCAAAAATTTACAAAGATGCTAATTTCGTGGAGCATTGAGTCATAAGTAAGAAACAATAATCGCTATATGGCAAAAAAAACTGGAAGGCGGGATGTTTCTTGCTTTGCTGCACAGTATCCTCTGTCGCTATGATCTAAAGAATTTGTAACTCGTACTTGCGCAGATAGCCAAGAGCTATTATTAAAATCATTCGAATGCATGAAAAAACGTTCTTTGTATGATGGCATAATATTTTTCGGAGAGAGGAATTTCTGATGGGGCATGTGCATACGTACTCGGCTGTGACGTCTGCCAGTTTGCAAAGTAAGGCCGCAGAAATTCGCTGCTGGCGTGACCATGAGTCCTAATGGCCAGAGAGGAGAACCAAAATCTCTACGCTAAAAATAGGATATACGTCAAAACGACGGGAGATTTCGTTGTGTGAAGCACGGCGAACACATTAAGCGATAAAAGATGTCGGCCACGAGATGACGGTGTCCTTTCGGATAAACAGGGCGAAGGTGTAATAGATAAAATATTATTATTCCATGTACAAGTGACTGTATTTTTATGTTGAAAGCCCTTTTTTAGTCTACGAGATACTAACAATTTTGCATTAGTTTATCTAATAAAGTAGTGAACTAAACTATATGGGCATGCGTTTTAGAACACTTTGTATACGACGCAAGGTAACAGTGTTTCGTTTTTGTTTGCTATTCGTGTGCTGTGATTATGTGTGGTTTCTATACTGCGCTACAGGGGTGTCCCGTAGCAGCACAATCTGTATAGCATACCTGATGAATCGACAACGGATGCGGCTGGTTCCTGCCCTAAATCAGGTGAGGCTCCGTGCACTCATTTGAGATGCCGTTATTTGCCATAAATATCACGTTGAATTCTATCTATTATGTTTCGCATGCTATCCTCCGACTGTTTCTCCTTTGAGCTAGCTCTTTGCATTCAAGTTGTTGTTATTTTAACTTTTTTGGATTAAAACCAAGTAAATTGACAAAACATATTCTCTATATATTTGTCAATGGAATATCCAGGTGCGGATGGAGCGACCAATAATACGGCCCAATGACGGATTCATGCAGCAACTGAAAGAGTATGAAAAGGAAATACATCCTCTCACAACCTAATGGTTCTGTTGCTGAGGGAACATGTTTCACGAATTAACATCACCAGCCAGTTTATTTTCCAGCTTATTAAGCAAGTGTCCATAATACGCCAATGACGCGATAAAAAATACGCATATGCATAAATAATGCATGCGTTATCTTACGAAGCATTTAGATTTTTTCTAAATAGTTTATTCTATTTCATAGCACTTTTCAGAGACGTTTTGTACGGGGTTCTCAAGATCAAAAACCCAATTTACTATGGCGAAGCCCTATTTTAATAAAAAGTGATGAACAATAAGGACGTACCAGTACAGAAATGTACCATACATGTGTCTTTTTATAAAATGTACACGAATTCTCATTACAAATACGACCATGAAGATATCTGAAACAATAATACATACGACAAATATTTCTGCTTATCACAAATGTGTAAATAACCCACTTTGATCGACTGTGAAAAATCCTCGACTGTGTCAACGTCTCCTTAGTCTCATTTTAGCGATATGATCCTACACCAAGCGGTGAGGAAATCGATGTGCATGTGAAACAGTTGTGCTAACGCTGACAACCATGAAATATTTTATAATTTTTAATAAAACTTCTCTCAGAGGACCACGAATGAGAAACCTTATGCTACTTTGGTGTATAGTGGTGTCTTCTTTCGAAGCAGGTGTACAGATGCATGTCCGTTGAAGTTTGATATACGCTATGTACAATATTAACCAAAAAGGCATTTCGATAATCGGCTACCTTAATATCATCTCAAATACCTTTGAATCTGCATATTTCTAGGTTTGCCGATAGATGAAACGACTGTTTACGTGATGGGCATTGCTTTTTGGCTAACCAAGGATGCCTGAAATGGCGGCCCACTTTCAAATAATTACGCTGTATCCAGAATCTAAGATATTGAGCCATGATAAAAAAGAAAAAGGTTAAAATCACTTCTGCGCATGTTGACACACACACTCAGATAGTGAGTTCACTGAATAAACATCGAAAATCTTTTTCTGTTGAATGTCCGATCAGAGACATAAATCTGTTTCAAAGTTACATTGACATGCGTTACTTTATTGGGGAAAGAAATTATCTTCCACTTTATTCTTAAAAATAGTTCCATCGAATTTTTATGCCGCCTACTTTTAAATAACAAAATAGTCTAAATTATTAAGGTATCCATCAAATACCTATTCCCTGTATAACGTTTATCATTTCATTTAATACAACGAGAATATCGACTTTCTGACCGGTTTTTCTGAAGACTATATTGCTGTTCTGTCGGAGAGAGAAACTAAAAAATTTGATCGAAAATATTGAAAAGCAGTTTTTACAATGACTGCGACGTTGATCCTGCTTGATAACGTTACTACGTCGTTAGCGGAAATTTTCGCTCTCCTGAAGCAGCGAAAAAGCTCTTATCAAAAAGGATAAACACATTGACCATTTTTTTTAACCCCGAATTGAAATTTTCCAGAACAAATTACGATAGGCCATATGCATATACTAAACAAGTAACGTATATTATTTTTATTCTAAGCAAGTTAACTTTGTGTAAAATATTTCTCCGTTCTAAATCCGTTCCGAAATCTACATTTAGGCAACTATTTCACATGTGCGTTTAGTGATTTGTATTACTCTAATATATAAATTTCCTTAAGGTGAATAAAATCGTTTTCGATCTCATTTGACTTATTTTCCAAGAATGTTATATAATACGGACCTAATAAACTAAGTCTTGAAAAAAGATGAAAAAAATTATGTTACAATCGGGCATTCGGACTTTTGGTCTGAATGAAGTCGCTTATACTGCCGCGACGGCCGTATTTACATAGCGCTGGACTTATAGTAAACAGCTCGGATTTTGATCTTAAACAAGACAAATTTTGGAAGTTTAAACGCGTGACTACTAATACCACTTTCCCTTAGCCATCACCTAATCAAATTAGTCCCTACTGGCCCTAACGCTTCATTGTGCTATAATATCTGCTTAATGTGCTGCATTTACAAGGAAGCTAAAGATTTTGATATAATCTTAATATAAGCAATGTTTAGGAAAACACATAACCAATAAAACAATATCGAACTCGAGTGGCCGTTATCAGAACATAGACCTACGTGTTTTTATATCTCCTTTTGTTAGCGCTAGAGTTACCAAGTGTCATCAGTCGACCTATAGTGGCAACAAATTTTAGCGGCGTTACGCTCGACGTTCCTTTGCGATAATTTGCAGCATACGTTTATTGATAGGCTAAGCCAACCCTCTAAGAGTGGTCAGAATCGTTAAGCCCGTTGTTAAAGTTGCCCAATAACTCTACATACAGACTTTGCTTATTTAAGAACACGATCTGCAATTACTATGAGTTCTAGCTCACTTTCTAGTTTCTTTAGTGACATTTGGAGTTCTTGCAGAAAGCTCGTATCGCATTCCGTTATTTTAAGAAGTTCAGTACTCAAAAAAAAAAAAAGATTTTCAAAAATTAGCTGTGGTTGCCCGAACTTTGAAAACATCTAGAAAATAAGGCAAATAGCACGGAATCGTGTTTTATCTAACCCATTAAAATTCGGTTTACTTAAAAACGCAAAAGATTAGATCAGAGTAACACAAAGCCTGAAATACACAACTGTATATAATCTGCGGGATTGGCTCTACTTTACGGCACATATCAGCTGAAATACTCAAACGTAAAATTCAAAACAAGATATATTGTGCATCGAGCCTAAGTAGTTTAATAGACAAACAATAAAAAACTGTATGCTGGCTTTTTTTTGAAGTTCTTAGTTCCACGAATTTGAATGTTCTTCCGCGTATGAAGTAATGGGAGTCATTTTTCCTTATGTAATTCAAATTAGATTAAAATACAGGATACTCTTTATCGCATTAAAAGTATCATAACTGCTACCCAGGAGAGTAATAGTTCTTTTCTGAGAACAAGCAGATAGACCATAACCTGAACAGCTGGCAGCGGTAAATGGAGCGTCGGGTCCGCAAATATGACGATTTTGCTTCGATACGTTGCTCAGACCCATAAATTTTTATCAAATTTTTTCAATTATTAATAAAGCTTTTTACGCCTAAGAATGGAAAAACTATCTTGAAGACTTCATTTATTCGCTCATAGCTTGAAAAGCGTCCAGGCGTTGCCATTCGTTTTTAAGTTCTGTAGTTTAAGTTCTGTAGACTTTTTTTTACTTCATGGTTAACTGCAATGCGCTTGTTTACGTCAGTTATGATTCATTAACCATAGGCAAGTACTGGATGCATGTTATTATGGCTAATTCGATGTTGTCTACTCAATTCGCTAAAATAAGGAAATGTAAATAAAAATCAACCTGAACAAACCGAACCTTTCCGAATTAATTAGAATCCGATTAGAAAACTAAAATTGAGGCCAGGAAAACAAGTGATCCTCCTGAGGTATTTACAGACTTGCTTGCCGGGACTAGGAAGTGCCGGAACCTTGGCGACTAAATTTAAAATGATAATAAACGTTAATAAACATTAAATAATATTTACTAGAGAACAATTAACGATTTATTAAGCTAAACGCTCTGAAACAAATATCATTTGTTGGTCGTCCTCCTCTCTGGTTTCGTTTCGAACGAGTTGATCCAACCGGCAATAAGGAGGAATCCTATGGCCAAAAACCTAAAACAGAACATTACAAGAGGATATATACAATCCTAAGTATAAGGCTTTCAAGGGTCGTGCTAGCCTCTGTTAAAATAACGACGGTTTTGTCATACAGAAAAAAAATGTGACAAACATTATCGGACACGCGTAAAATTCTTGTCGACTGCCTAGAAGGTAAACGGCATATGCTAAACAATGGTTTGGATCCTTTGAAGTTGATTATTTAGTGAAGCCCTTAATGTTTCAAATTTTACGTCCGATATCCACACAAAACGCTTGTTCATAATGACTTTAACAATAATAACAACAATAAAGTGAAATTCAAATTGCTTGAGCCGTCATTGATCTCGTAATCTTTAACCTTTAACAACTTTCAACTATTTTTAGACCTTGAATTTGAATTTCTGATCCCATTTCAAGCCTTAATCTAAAAATGTTTTTTCTTCGCGACTTCGGTAAAACCTTATAATCAGATATTTTGCGATTTATCAAGTAAGCCAATTCGGCATATACAATTACTTTAAGAAATCGCTAAAAACAATGAAAAAACCTAAATGATCACTATCTCGACAAGTAAGTACAAATCAATCCTAAAAGAAGTATTTCACTCAAGGTCACTATAGATTTTTCCCTGGAAAGTATCTCTTTAATGCGGAGAGAGTGAGATAGTGTCGGAGCAACATATATGAAAGCTGCGCTGCTACAAGGCTGGGTGCGCGCTTCATTGCTTTCAGAGTAGTGGAATCAAGAAAAACTCCAAGGCCGAAACAGTTCGGATTGAGGGTACGGCACGATAAAAATACAGAATATATAGATTACCGTTGAATTCTCCAAGTCACTAAGAATTAATAGTAATGACTTTGTATGTGTGACATATAGTTAACTAACCAAATCGATATTGGAATATTTTCTGGCTCCTGGTCTCGCTTAGCTTCATACTGTGCATATTGTTTTCTATACATTATATCTTGTCGTAGCTTTGCTCCATAATGTTGTTGATAGAATTCGTCGAAGTTATAAATGTGAGAATGACCCGTGGGAGGAGGGCTTCTTGTTTTAATAATCACGTTACCCGGAGCCTGCTTCTGCACACGGGTTTTACCTAAAAACAATGATAGTAATTAATTAATAGCTCATGCAACTTTATGGGGACTGGTAGCTGCAGGTGAATTGAGGGTGATATAATTTCAAAGCTGTAATCCGTCTGTCTTTTAAAACCACAAACTGTGGAGTCGCATATTAAAGCTGCATGTCCTTTTTCCTTCGTCTATAAGAGGGGAAGAAGCGTACGGTGTGATAAAAGTGGTATATTCAACCCTTGGTTGACCTAGAACATTTTTAGGTTCTAAGGACACCTGTTGCTATGGTTAAGGCAATACAATATTACAGATGCGATCCTGCATGTCGGCTATGTATTGACAAGCACCTCTGTGCACTTAAAGATTAAAATATAGGACAAGCTTAGCACTTGAAGCGTTTTTCATATTTTACGTTCGGTATTTGGGCTGTGAGGCATTACTTCAAACGGCTGGTTCTTCCTATCAAGACATGAAGTGTGTCTACGCCCAAACTCAAACCCAGGGTCCCTAACTTGAACAGGAAAACACTTTACCCACTGCGCTATCATAGGAACTGTTCCATCTAGCAAATGAGCATTCTTTAGTATATATATATATATACACAATACCTCACACAATACAATAGAATAATGATTTGCAAGCTAATCTACTTAATTTTCATTTAAGGTCCTCACATATACTTTCAATGATTAGAGTTAACAAGAGTTAGTCCTTTGTCTATATATGATACTTTATGGGCCATGCTTTATACTTTTCTAGTATATATGTTCAGCTTTGGGCCCGCAATTCAAAGCCTCTTAGCGAGCTTCCAGTGATCAACCCTAATTATCATAACAATATAGGTTCGCCCATATTTAAACATTGTGCACTTTCTCAACTACGAAATGCAGAAGTGATTTTAAAGTACATCAAAAAGCAACAAAAGATGTCCTCCATAAAGTGTCCGGCTGCCAGTTTGCACAGGATGGTGAGACACGCAGTGCCCATTATAATTATTCCACGGCGTTTGCACGGGGCAAGAGGGTCGGGCCTATAGATTTGATACTAAAAGTAAAGTAATACTATACATGTGGTCTCAAAGCAAACGCTTCATATGAAACGTAACTGGTTTATGCATATTGGGCCAACTTTACCTTCATTACATTAGCTATACTATAGTATGAGTTGCAGAGAAGATGTGATCTGCATGACAGCTGCATCTTCACTTCAATTTCAGTAGTGGCTATCATATCTACTCACGAAAAATCTAAGACATTAAATAATGTTGAAGGTGTATATACATAGGATATGACTGCTAAAAATGAAGGGGCTATCTAACGCAGTTTCAGCAGTCTCTAGAGTGAAGGCCAAGCATTTACTAGGAGTAAAGGAATGTCAACAATGCGATAACAATGTAATAAGATGTTCAGGCAAGTCCTATTTTGACATATTAATAAACTGAAACAAATCAGTAATAGTAGAGGCCACTCCTGCTTTCTGAAGTGCTTCTTACATATGCATATGCTGGACACTGGAGTTTTAATCTAAAATCGACCACGCATATTATGTACATAAGGCTATTTTAACAACTTACTCTCGGATCTTGAGTTTACCTCGAAGCAGTCAACAGTTCAAACTTTATTTAGCACTTGCTTCGTTCGAATTTAATACCGATTGTTTGCCCGCACGAACTCAGGAACAACCAATACGTTATTTTATTCAGTCATAACCTATGTGAAATAAGCATTAATGCTTAAGTTTGATGAACTTAAATTTAGCAATGGGTTCTTTATCTATAGTGAAATATTTCCTTAGATAAAGTTATATGAACAAAAATTTTCCAATTTTTCGAAATAACAATCAAAACTTTTGTAAACAACCGAAATCATATCTTCAACACTGAGTGTTACATGTCATCGCGTACCAAGAACTTTGCAGTCATATTCTTGTCGACTCTCAGGACTCGATAATACCTGATAAGCTTCAGACACCTTCCGAAATGCTTCAGCTGCATCGGCCTTATTCATATTACGATCAGGATGAAGCTTCATTGAGAGCCTGCGATTCGAATGCAACAGATTAATCATGCAGGTCAAGTTCCAATTAGATAAGTTGAGCCGTGAGCTGTGATAGGATAGTACATTAAACAAGGACTGACAATATTTAACATTATAGTACTTATTATGTAATAAAAACTTACATATTATTGAATATTTCATGTTATATACGAGTAATTAATATTGTATAAATACGCACGATAGTTAATGATTTTCAGTTAAAGTCAATTGTTGCCGTGACAGCGCCTAAAGATATGGGGTCTCTAGGTCCGAAACTGGTGTAAACACAGTTCGCTTCGTGCTTAAAAACAGCTGTAATGTTTAATACCAGTGTTGGACTAAGATTCTAAACATTTATTATTAGTCAAAGCTCTCTTTCAAATTGAGCCTACCGCTGAAGTTCGTGTGGTTTGAATAAAGTTTACTTAAACTTAAATTAAAAACTGACCTAATCCCTCAAACAACTTGAGTTGAATTTTCGTTACAAGCTGCATATCTAACTTATTATTCGGGAGATCACACTGCAGCCACTTGCAATTGCCTCATCCATAATCAAAGATAGAACAATAAAAATAGGTCAGTGTTTGCACCCTCTGTACTAGAATTGTATATTGAATCGGACAATTGTTAAGGTCATAAAAGAGCCATGCAAAAATTCAAGAGCTGAGAATCGTAAACGAACCTATAAAATGCAGCCTTAAGATCCTTTGGTGATACATCCTCAGTCACCTGAAGAATATCATAATATGTCTTCGTTTTGTGTTGAGAGAACGATTTTGCTTGTATAAACCGTCCTTTTTGTCGCCCAAAGCCATTCCATAGCTCTGTTAGAAACCTTTTCGCAATTACGCTGACTGGAAACATTGCACTACTGCTATACACTGAAACGCCTCTTGGCTGTTTGTATAAATTACTTAATCATTACCATACCGCCGGATAGATGTACTTAGCATTCCACAAACAAAACATGAACGAAGAGAAGAAGATATCGTTTGCCTAACATCTCTGTACGATGGAGTATTGTGACTAGGGGACCATAGTCACGTACAGGGTGCCGTCATATTCTTAATGAATGCATTTATATCGTCATATCTGCACCAAACTATTGTCCCCGCAGTTTCACTACAAGAGAACACAAGATATTTTCCCTTAAATACTTAAAATGTCACAAAGTCCACTAAGAAACGACCAGAACATTTACATTGTAAAGGTTAACGGCGATTCCGAAATTACGACTCACTTATGCGATGTGTTAAAGACCTCCCAGTAAAAGAGTCACCGTCAAGAGGAGGTAAACCTGTGTTTCGAACTGTCTGTATCAACGAAACTCGGCGGCGGGCGTTCGTTTTTGACCGTTGCTTTTCCGGTGGCTCTTATATAGATAAACACGCAGATCTACTGGCTTCCGTACATTGACATAGCCCTCAAAATTCGTTCTGCTAAGTTGTCTGTTTGTAGATTGGTGCCTGTGTGAACAGGGTTATCGTATTACGAGCGTTTGATTTTACTAGACAAAAGTTGCTAGGTCACAATTAGATTCGGCTGAGCGGAACATCGACAAAATGTCGACTACTTCACAGAAGCATAAGTCGTTCGTCTCCGAGCCCATGGGCGAAAAACCCATCACTGATGTTGCCGGCATCGGCGAGGTAAGAAGCCAAACAGCAAACAACTTCACAAAAGATTACAACTATTGTAACTGATTGCCGTACAAGTCTTTCAGTTTTATCCGGATACGAACCTGTTTATTGACGAATATCGCGTTGTGTTGTTCTTCATGAACGTGAATCAATGTATTGTGGTTGTTAAAATGTTATACTTTATTTTGTTTTTATCATAGACGAAAACATGGTTATCGCTTATGACAGGCCTTTTCAATTAAACGATTTCAATTTAGTGAATACACATGCAGTATTTTGTGTACATAACGCCCAGGTAGTGGCCATTTATTTATTCCTCCGAACCAAGGCGACAGAGTGGTGAAAGGACAATATATATTCCATTAATTGTAGTATTTCTAATAGGAAACATGGATAACAAGCATAGCTGCTTCACATCTTAGCGTTCGTAGGATATATGAAAAATGGTTTCCTTGCGGTAGTAATTATTAATAAATGGTGCGTGAGTCATCGCTCATATACACTTGCTGACGCATGATGACAAATGATCTATGAAAAAGGACTAAGAAGGGAGATGAAATAATATTTGCAGTAGCTGCTGATATGGTTACCTGTCGCCTGATAGGTCTGTTGGAAAAAAGGCCAATTATGTCCAGCAAGACCGCCCTGGCAGCCTTTGAAGCAAAAGTGAATGTCAAAAGGTAATTCCAAAGATTTGTTCTCATGAAAAGATAGCGCTGAGAGTCAGGTTGAACCACAAGCGCTCCTACCAACCAACAGCTTCTCTCATATTCCACCCCTGCACCCCTAGTTTGCGCGGGCAGAATGTTGCGGGTGACGACGATACTGTCTTTCGAGTATAACGACGGCTATTTCTATACTTCTCTGTAAGCTTGAATGCTAATCGATAGAATTTCATTAGAATTACTCTATTAAAAGTTCACTAGAACGATACAAAATATTAATTACCGCGCTACAGTGTTGAATAGGGTGATGGAAAAGCGAGTAGAAATCACTTTTCCGTGAGTCAGAAGTCTTCACACACGAATAGCGAAATATAAATATAAACCAAATATCTGGAACATTAGCAATTTTCTATTACGAAGCATTGCTTAGGCATGTTATGTTTTAATCATGTTTGCGTTACCTAATGGCGATATAAACTAATTCAATTATATCATTTTAGACTAAGATAGTTTCTTATAGGAATGGTATCATGATGTACAATAGGTATTTTGGAAGTGTAACAGATGCGTGTCAAGCATCTTATGTCTAGCAATATTATTGCTCCCCGAAGAGCTGCATTTCTAACTCGTAATTATTTTTACCGTGCACAGGTGTTGGGCAAACGTCTTGTTGCTAAGGGATTCGATAAGGCGTACATCCTCCTAGGGCAGTTTCTTGTCCTCAAGAAAAATCAAGAGCTTTTCACTGAGTGGCTCAAGGATATTTCCGGAGCCAATGCAAAACAGGCAACTGATTGCTTCCAGTGTCTAAAGGACTGGTGCGATGAATTTCTGTAGACCTCAATATGTCTACAAAAGTTTAAACACATTTATATATATATATATATAAACTGTTTATTGTAATTGAGAAAACATAAGTTTTTGGAAAATATATTTGAGAAAAAAATTGTGAATAAACATGTATGTTTTCCAGAAAACGTTAGTTAAATCAGAACGCATTTGAAGTTCCCGTTTTGCGAAAAACAAAAATTATGATGGGATTCACTTCGTTAGCGCCCTCTACCGGCACTATAATCAAGTATTTCGGTGAAGATCAATATATCAATACTCAGGAGTAGTACCCTGTATGTAAGCTTTCTACCTTGAAGCTATACGTAATGGCTAGTCCCTGTCTTGTTTAATATTTTACTGGTGGTTGGGCCATACCGACCGTAAACAGCTTTTACGATTACAATTGAGTAAGCAGTGCATTTTTAAATTTGTTACAAGTGACATTGATGATTATTCATATAAGTTTACGATCCACTTAGGGACCCGGTAACGAAATGGGCCCGAAAACATTTTCAAGATTATGACAGGGGACACATTTTCTCCGAAAAAGCTTTTATTGCTGACCAATTAAGCGTAAAACAAGTAGTGTAACTGAATGACAACAATAGTGACGAACTATGAAAACGCTCTTAAACCGATTTCATCTTCGTAAGGTAGTAGCTATTCCCTGCTACACCATCATCACTACTATTGCCGAATCTCCTGTAGGGAGAGATTTGTAGCTATTATTGCTCACTGAAACTCTGACTGAATATTCATTCATCTTTCTATTATAATGTATCAATCGTTTCTCACATTTAAGAATGCAATTAGAGTAAATAAATGGTAGTAACAATATAACGATGGTAAGGAATTTGCGCTTTTTCAGACAAGGGGCCAAAAGTTCATTATGTATTTGACTGCAAGTAATTTATGGACAAGTCGCTTTTCAAATAGTCGTTTGAGTAAAGTCTTGCATAAATGACACACATAATTTATCAGAGTTCTAAATAAATGAGTGAATTCCACGTAACTGATGTTTATGTATTTCTTAACCTTGGTGTACAGCACTTCATTAGATTCATAGATATTTGTGACATACAAAACGGCTACATGTTAGAGCAAGCCAAGCAAGCTAAAAAAAAAAATAATTCATTAATTAATTAATGTTCGTTTTCAGCGTTATCGCAGCAATATAACGTATAGAGCGTGGGATGATATGGGCTCATTATTTTTCTAAGAGGGTTTTGAAACGTTTCTTCTATCCTGGATGGATTACAGATTCCTCTTCGTGTAAGTTTATGAAATGTTAAACTTCAAAACAAATTTGTTCACTAGGCACACCTGAAAGGTTAGAGCTGTATGCTTCGTATAGTAGTCTGACTCCATTTGCATTCTGAATACAAGATAGGCAGAACTTAATGCGTGCAGGAGAGCATACTGAACTAGCATATATCTATCTAATACTGCTACATTAGCTACAAACACCTGCTAGAATACTCGGCAGCTGCTAGAACGCAAACGATCGAGCTCTTCCATGTGCAACAAGTTTATTGTTATGATGATACAGAACCAATGACGCTAACATTGTCGATTACAAATTCATTGCATTTCGATAATCATTGATATGGAAATCATATGCACCTATGATAGTTATATAGCGTACAGGCCGATATATTTGGCGTTAGAAAGTAATGCTTGCATAGCTTTATTCCCTCTTCGTTTCTTCGACGTACCATCACGGCCGTGAATTTCTGTTGAAAAACAAGGGTGAGGTTTTCATTTCTCTATTTTTGCTTACTTTGCTCTATATTTAAAGCATCAAGACCGTTTGCAGAGTTAAGATGATCTCGAAATATAGTATACTTTCAGATTTGTTATGTTCTATTACAACATAAGGAATACCATAAGATCCCGCTTGCGCACTAACGAAAACGAAACAACAAAGGTTGAAATACCGACTGCTCAAGCAACAGGTCCGATGACCATCACAACCCAGAAGTGAGAAACGAATGGGAAGAAATAACGCGCTAAGAATGAAATGTAAAGATACAGTAGAGTGACACCATAGTATGCATGAAGCACTATGTAAAAAAACGGCATCAATAATAGTGATTCAAGCCTTAATGAATTAGTTTCATTCGCTCCTACCATCGAATTTTGAACCTATTGAAGAACCGAAATTGAATTAAAGTTCGTCCGGAAATCTAATTTATTACTAGTTGAAGCCAGTTTTTCTCGTCAAACTTGCGAGTTGGGTTTTTGCGTATACCGCAATCGTTCGATCGAACTGTGACTGGTCTTAGATATATTCAAGTTTTCAAAATTCTTTTCTAATTATATCCTAAGTTTTCATGTACGGCCGCGCGTTGGCGGACGCGTTTACTTAGACTCAATATGTTTTTTTGACACTGATGTGTTTCCTGAAAATAATAATAACATAAATTATTACCGCTATAATATTTATTTAATAGAGGAAGAACTGTGTAATTAATTACGCACCAACTTCGGGCCTCATACTTGCCAGCATACGTGGAACCTGCACTCACCATATGTTAGTCATATTCAGCCTCTTTTCTACTCTCAGAGGAACAGTTTGCGTATCGCTTTTGTAAAATGGGGGAGCGACCACTTTTATTTTTTACCGATGAATTGTTAAAGAGCTATTTTTTAATTAACACGAGAATATAGATTGTCGTTTTTCTTGTTATTAATTTTCCAGGCGTCCCGAACTTTCCTCGTTTTCCTCCCTCATTCCTTCCTTCGAGCGCACTTTTTCTTCCCATCAGCTTCTTGTCTACCTTATTCGTTCTTGACCATACCAATGATCATCTTTGCCACTGTTCTGTACGTCATGCTAAGTACGTCAAATTTTCTAGAAGTTACCTTAAGACCTAGTTAGACAAAAATGATATTTGTCACATCATTGACTAAGTTTGTGTCATTTATCCTTTCATCCTCTTTTACAAATATTTTTGAAAACTTTCGTGTCTAGCCAGGACCTTGTGCCAAGGAGTGAACGCCACCATTTCTACTGAGCCATTTGATTAGGCCAGTAAGTAGATGATGGGTCCACTTCTCTAGAGAAAGCTGCGGTAACCCGATTTTGCTGCTATTCCTTCGTGGTTTGCTCGTTTGCTCGTTCCTTTCCTAGTGCTGGTTTTTTTTATAGCTTATGGTATATTTGCCGTTTTGAACACCGTGTTTAACTTGGTGAATTCGTCTTATGTCCCGAGAATCTCTTTTTCATTTTTGTGGCTCTTCTTGTTTTCGGAAAGACTTTCTCTAAACGATTAACCACCGTCGTTCCCTTGTCAGTTACATTGGCGAAATGTGGATTGATTCATCATAACTCCTCGGTGTTAGCTTGATCCTTCGATCTAAATCTGTACTCCATTTGCTAAGAATTACTTTGTTCCCGACTATAGTAGGTTGCAGTCCGGGCGTCTCCGTTTAATCTTTTAAGCAAGCTATGCTTTTCTCTCTAAAGTATCGTCGTTGCGAACTGTGCGATCAACTGCATGCTCTTCAGCTCGAAAAGCTATAAGGCGCCATTATCAACTATATTCCACGGCAGCGGGCCCAGTAGTAATCCGTGGGTCACTCCATCTGTTAAGGCAATTTCCTTTGTCCTATCAGTCATTGCCCTGTTATAAAAGTAAGACATAACACATCATCTTTAGAAGAAGATTTAGAAAGTCCCTCGTCTAGCCTCGTTCAAAGCCTAGAAAGTGTTGCGCACATCTAATAAAGTAAGTGCACACAATTCCCTTGGCCATTGGTTTTTCTTTTTGGCTTTCTGCAAAACTCTGGTGTTGGCGGTTTTAATAGACCCGCTTATACGAAATCCGTATCCAGAATTCGAGATTGCACCCTTCTATTTCAGTTTCGCCGTCAGTTTCTTACGTGCGATGATTTCAAAGGATTTTCCAATTATGTCTAGTAGACAGATGATACAGTCTGTTCCACATACAACAGAGGTCTGTTGTGTTTTTCAAGCAATCCCGTGGTAACTTAGTGGGCAATTTATTTGCCTGCTAATATTAGGAACACGTTATGGTGTAGGTTCGATCCTGGGTATAGACATATTCCGTTGCACGCTAGGAACCGTCCGTCTGATAGGATGCCTAACGGCAGTGCTAGACGTGAAACTCGGAACTTATTTCCTTACGAAAGCCAATATGGGTTTTTTCAGAATTATATTATCCACCACACATCTGAAGCCCCGGATTTTCGTGGAAGAGCATCTTAGGCGTTTCGGTTGGTATTCCGTCTGGTCCAGGTCCTTTATCATTAAGAATACAAATTTTCATTTTATGTTCTATGTTGTCTGCCAAGCGAGTAAAACTCGCGTAGTTTTAAACAGCCTGTTGGCAACTCGTTCCGCCTGTTCTTACGGCAGTGTTGACGATGATTCAAGGAACCTTAGTCACGCATGACTACCATGTAGGGTTTCCCTCCTCACGCCTCTTTTTCTAGCTTGAATGTATTCCCTGCATACTTTGTCGTAGGCACCTCTATAAGCCTCAACGTCTGCTCTGGAGTGTTTCGCAGAGCATCTGTTAAAGATATGCGGAGAGTCATTCTGCGTTGGCTGGATGCAGTCACTTTAAAAGCTATTTGCAGCTGTTGCACCACTGGCTGTGATTGGACGTCGTTAACATAAAGTACTCTTCGCAACTATTATTCTGGGTATGGGTCAGTATAAAGTCATCTATTTTGGTGTAAATCACTTGGTAGCTGAAAGCTGCTATCTCTAAGCTGATCCAGGTATTTCGATAGCTTTTCAAGTTCAGCCAAATCATGTTGGAGTCTTTTGACAAAACGCTCTCTTATGTAATTTGTAGCACGTATCGAATGATTTGCAGGAAAGCCTACAAATAAATGTGAAAGAATTACATAAAGCGTGAGAAAAGATTACAATTTCAGAAAATAAAGGAATTTCAGTCCAATTGAATGGCGACTGCATCAGTCTGAGTGCTGATTCAACGATCTAGAGCTAGAACCACTTAAAGCAAAATGTTTGCCTCTCGCGAAATTTCTCGCGAGCGACGATACGACCTCAGTTAACACTGAAAAAGTCTTAAATGTTTCTCTGGTTTTGAATCGACTTCCCAGGCTTCGACCCAGAAAGGTAGAAAAACATCTCTTTTTTTCGTTCTTCGATAGTCAAATTCCTGTTGAATGTAATTTGTAATAATTTCGTGTAGTGACGCCGTTTAAAAGGGAAAAGCTGGTCTATAAAAAAAAAAAGAAAAAAGTGGTTGTTTACGACCTGGTCGCAGAAGTCTCGAAAAACTTAAACTAAAAAGAGTCTTTAACCAAGGGAAAAGTCTTGAATCCGATACCTAGAACGCGCTTGTCTATTTTTTGAGTCAATGTTTCCAAAATGTGATCACTCGTTTATTTTTATCTTCTTCATCCAGCACATTTTCGTCGGTCTAGAAGAAGGGTAGGCTAGTAATAATTCTAAAATCCGATAAGCTTGTTGAACATTCAAGCCCATACAGGCCTTTCTGCCTCTCAAATACAATTAGTAAGACTTCTGAAACTTTTGAGATAAATAAGTTAGCTGGCGAATTGAAAAAAATAGAGCTTTTCCTGAAAACGGTTTAGACTTAGAAAGTAGGATCGATAATTTTTGGAATAGAGCTCGTCTCAAAGTGCGCCAAATAAAAACGGAAATTGACGCGCAAAACCAGGGATCGTTGTTTGGCTACCCTTCTGGATGTAAGAAAGGTTTTCAGTTCGATGAACTGAGACGTGACAATGACTGAAGGCATAAAGCTTATCACTATAAAGTCAGACTTTATCGTGACAAATATCTAGAAGTTGTTAGGTAAGCGGAGCTTAAAGATTAATCTTTTTCAAAATCTTCAGGTGGTCACTTGTATGACAACATATATACTCTCAAAGGATCTAATTTAAGCTTGGGTCTCTGTCGTCTTGAAACTACTTCATAGCAATTTGCTATTTAGAAATTCCGACGAGATGTCGTGATATATTCAGAACTTACTTTACAACATCGCTTTCATAT